TCTGCCAACCAACGCAGGGGACACGGGGTCGAGCTCTAGTCCAGGAAGATCCCACATGCTTCAGGGCAACTAAGCCCGTGCGCCACAACTACTGAGCCTGCGCTCTAGAGCCCGTGAGCCACAACTACTGAGCCTGCGAGCCACAACTACTGAAGCCCATGCGCCTAGAGCCCGTGCTCCGCAACAAGAGAAGCCACCGCAATGAGAAGCCCGCGCACCGCAACAAAGAGTAGCCCCCGCTCGCCGCAACTAGAGAAAGCCCGCATGCAGCAATGGAGACCCAACGCAGCCAAAAATAAATAATTTATGGGAAAAAAAAAAAATCTCCCTCGGCCCTCCTCTCCCACTCCTCTCTCCTAAGGTAACCGGTGTGGATATTCCTAAACTTTATGCCCATGAAAATATTTAAACAGATACAGGGAATTCCCTGGCTGTCCTGTGGTTAGGACTTTGTGCTTTTACTGCCGAGGGTGTGGGTTCAATCCCTGATCGGGGAACTAAGATCCCTCAAGGTGTGGGGTGCAGCAAAAAATAAAAATAAACAGATATAGAAGCCATTATATTTGTTTGCAATCATACTATCCCTACTCCTCTGCAACTTGCAAATTTGTCATTTATCTCCTGAATAGACATTTGAATCATTCCATGAGGCTGCTGACTCATTTGCATAATATCCAGCCATTTATCTATTCAGCCATTACTGTATTTCTTCAAAAGCTCCTTTTGGAGAGAGAACACCCTTTCCCCTTCATTACTTCTCAGTATCAAAGCCTTTCCCTGCCTCTGGACACATTTGTGACCTTTCTGGGAAGGGCAAATTCCCTCAGGCTCTTACTGGAGGCGTCTGAACTCTGGGCCAGCGAACTCTGCATTGTCTGGGTTCCTCTTCCTTGCCCACATTCTGGCTGCTAGCAAGAGATGGGCTGATCCCAACGTCACTGTCATCTTTCCTGACGTGCTCTCTAGGCGAGCTCTGAAAGCTCCCGTCTTTTCAGGAGGTAGGAGACGGGGAGGCTCGCACTGCAGCAGCCCCTGAAGAAATCCTTCCAAACTCAACACTAAAGAGTGGTGACAGAGGAGCCTCCCTTGGGCTCCTGGGGACCAGCACAGCTTTAGTCGCTGGACAGGGGATGTTTTCTGGCCCCCACTGACCAGGCTCAGGCCCTCTGCCCCTCTGCTGGGTGAAGGCCTCTCTATCTCCAGCCACCTCTGCCTTACTTGCTGCAGAGATCCTAAAATCTCATCACATCCTTCCTTGGCTCAGAAACTTTCAATGGCTTCCCATTTTCTCCCGACTAAAGCCCCAGTTTTTTAACCACAGAGACCTAGGAAATTCATCATTTTTGAAGGGTAACATCTGTCCCCAAACCACACCCTCCTTCTTCTAGATTCTATGGAAGATTCCACACCAGAAATTCAATAGCTATCTTCTCCTTTACCTATTATTCACTGAATTCCAGTGTCCTGGCCTTCCTGCCTCAAAAATACTTCTCGGGTTGCTCTAATTCTCTCCCCTCCCACTACCGACAGCTCTCTTTCTCATTCCTACCCTTCCCCACCAAGCCTTCGCTAGGGCTGTTCCCACTGTCTTTCCCATCTTTGTTTTTTTTGTCTGTCGAAGATAATTTTATATTTTCACCAGATGAATGTTGAGCCATATTGTCTGACAGTAAATAGCAAGACATACATCTATAGAACTACTTTTGGTTCATGCTGTCAATGCCTTAATCTTTGCTATTACAGAAACACATGGATCCAATTAATTTAACTGCAGGAAATTGCAAAGAAGAACTAAAACAGTCTTATTTTATTCCACTAGAGATTATGATGTGGTTGATGAAAATATTCCTCATGACCTCCAAAGGGTTTACAAGTCCATCTCTTCTTAGCGAACCAGCCCGTGCAGGGGAATCAGAGAAGGAAGCTACTTTGCTGCTCTAAGAAGTGGCGCTGAGCCAGGGATGAGGGATGCTAAGGCTGTTGGAAGTAGCCAGGCGCATAATGCCCTAGGTTTATTGGGTTTTTTTGTTTTTTTTGTTTTGTTTTGTTTTTTGCAGTACGCGGGCCTCTCACTGTCGTGGCCTCTCCCGTTGCAGAGCACAGGCTCCGGACGTGCAGGCTCAGTGGCCATGGCTCACGGGCCCAGCCGCTCCGCGGTATGTGGGATCTTTCCGGACTGGGGCTCGAACCCGTGTCCCCTGCATTGGCAGGCGGACTCTTAACCACTGCGCCACCAGGTAAGTCCCACATGTAATTTATTGAATACAGTACTGAAGTGAAAAACAGGATGGCTGTCTCGGTACAGCACTGTTGTAAGTGTATCATCGTTTCCCTTCCTGATTGGCTGGCTGACTTCTGTTGTCCAGCATCATGATAGTTTATCTACCACTCGCCCTGGAAAAGATCAAAATTTAAAATTCGACGTACAGTTTCTACCAAATGTGTATCACTTTTGCACCACTGTAAATTCGGAAAATCATAGGTGGGGAACTTCCGTATTTACTTCTAGGGGAAAAGGCGAAAATGAGCCCCCTGGTGGCAGCTGCAGTAGTTGCAGGGCTAGAACCTGAAGCGGGAAGTCTCCTTAAGCAGTCCCGTGCAAATCTAGTTCTAGAAAGGGTAGACGTCACCAGACATAAGCCAGAAAACGTCCAGAGTTCCTGCTTCGCCCTTGACTTACTCCAGGAGTAAGACTGAGTCGCTCTATGGCCGGTGGTTGGATTGAAAGCTTGTTCTGTCCCCATTTACTTGGAGAAAGAGAATCACTTTCGGTGTAAATGCATCCAAAGTATCACTGAGAAACAATCTGGAAAAAGAAAACTGTCCGAACATCCTAAATGTCTGCTGTTCTCCTAGGAGGCAAAGGGCAGGCTTGGTTCCTGACCTCCGGACCAGCACTCCCGTGCTGCTGCCTTCCTGAATGAGGGAACCTGGAAACTAGGAGGCTCCCCCATCGGGATCTCTCCCCTGCAGGCCAGGCTGGCGGCCAGGGAAGTAACGCACTCCAGTAAAAGATGGAGAGGGAGGTAGGCTAAAGCAGACAGCATCAGACAGAGCCACATGGATGCTGAGTGTCCCAGCCCACTTCTCCTCTCATTTAAATTAAACCCTAAGGTCCCGTTCCTTTAGAAAGCTTCCAGGATTTGAGATTTTTATGTTTTTTTTTTAAATTTTTTTAAAAATTCAAAGTCACAAAAATTATAATCGTCCTCATCAGTTCACTCAGTCCCGTGTAATTAATTTTTTTATCTCGATCTTTCGTTAGCACTTTTATGAGTTCATCAGTTTTCCATTAGAGTTCTGAAAATGCTTATCCATTCAGTTCAGCAGCAGAGTCAGTTACCAGAAACCTGTACTTGTCACTTTTCCATGAATTCCCTGAGGATGAAACCCCTTTATAGGAACATTTCTGCAAAAGCATCAGAGTGCACCCAGAACTGTCTGTAAATGACAAGGACTTAAAAATGACCACGGTTAAAGATTTGATGAAAGTTCATAATAATTTATCTGTTTTTAACATCAGGATTGTTCAGCCATCTTTTCTCCTTCACTTTGCCAAATATTTATTGCAGCGACCGGCGCATTTCTTTTCCTCCTTATTTGGCTATTTCCTGAGGGCTGCAGCTATGTGAGTTACACGTTATGTTTTCCAAATTCAATTCGACAAATACGTAATCAAGTACCAGACATTATGGTAGATGTTACTGGGCTTACAAGAAGGTGTGTCCCTACCCTCTGGGACCTCAGCTATTTAGCAGATTGATTTGCACCAGTTACAGGCGTATCTGCGGACTGACAATGGTTAAGTGTTATTAAGTACAAAGTGTTAAAGGAAGAGGCAAGTGTGGAGGGAGGGGACTTGGAAAGATGCCAGAAAAGCAACAACTTGAAGGGAGGTAGGGTTTGGAGTCGGGAGAAAGGGCTCTGGGTGAGAACGCAGGAGACTCCATTCCGGCTACCACTGAGGAGTTCCTAGGTCCTGCTAGCCCAGCCCCTTAACTTCCCATGGCTGCTTTCATCCTAGTGGCCAGCAAAGGCACAGGCAGAATTAAAATGAAAGAAGGCCTGAATATATCATGTAAGATATTTGCAAACCTTTAGACAACTTGGTGCAAGGGAATAGACAAAACCCTGACTAGGAACTGGAATTCCTGGGATCTGATCCCAGTTCTGCTCTGATTGGCTTTGTGATCTTGGGCAAATTACACCTTTCTGGACCCGAGTTTCACCATAAGAAGAATGGCAATAATAACACCCATCACGGCGTTATTGTAACATTTTCATAGCTAGCTGTCAGGGTGGTCGTGAGGGTCAAAGGGTCCACAGCTGGGACTGAGTGGGCAGACTGGGAAGAAATCAACAGGATCCCTCGCTGGGGTGAAGAGGAAAAAGGTAACTGAAGCAGGCCGACCAAGAGATGAAGAAGAGAGATGGGCTGGCCAGGAGCCAAGCAGGATGGGGAAGAAAGACAAAGTTAGAGACCCACCGCAAAGTGAGAGTAAGGATAGAGCACACAAAGATCTGCGACAGGCGCGTCCGGCTTAAAGACTGCTCAAACTTTGTGGGTCAGACATTACGCATCTGTAAGATGGAAATAATCATGCATTTGACCCTTAAAAGTTGTGTCTAGCTGGTTTGTGCCCTCATGCCACACGCCTCCCCATGGTACACGTCAGACATGCTGTGATCCCAACACAACTGGCATCGCCGGAGCCTTTGCTCTTCGAGGTCTCCCTTTAGGGCAGGGTGTCTTTATGTCCCTGCCACCGAGTAGGAACTGAGCTAATGTCTCTGGATTATGAGCCCAGTGAACTGTGAAAAGGACTTGGTCCTGTCAAGTCCTTGGGAAATGACGAGAAGACGCCTGTTTAGACCAGGTTAGGAGTAAGCTTTCTTGAGAGTAGGGTTATGACTGTTCTTAGACCTATGATCCCATTTTATAAATCTGAAAAACTACCATTTCAGGGCTAGTTCCCCCCAAAATAACAATCAACCATAAATCATTTTTTAAAGTTTTATTAAATCATTTAGACTTGAAAGAAGTCACAATAGTTAACACACTTAAGTGCGTTCTATACACCACCAACCCAAATGGATTGAGTTCAGAATTTTTATAAATAAAAAATAAACATATTTACAGTGGAAAATAAAAACATGTTAGCAAGTTAGATGATTAAACTGTTATCTACAGTCAGTTTTGGGAAAAAAACCAACCTACAGTATTATATTTAAGACACTTAAGATTTCGTTAGATTTTAAAAGTCCATAATTGAAGAAGTTAGTTGTAATATAGGATTCATTTCTTACTACGGCTTTTTTCCTCCCCAAACCAGAACTTTTGACCAATTTACACAAAAAGCTTCATTTTCCCTTTACTGGAGGTAAAAGTACAAAAAGCTCTTAAACGCTCCCTAGAACCATCTAAGGAATAAAGCTATTTAATGCTACAAACGTCACTAGAAAACTAGCTATGGACATAAACCACTATACAATTTGTGCCACCTGTCCTCCAAAATAATGCAGATTCCTTTTACCCACCAGGGACAAAAATGGAGTCAGCTTTTTTGGAAATCAGTTTCAAAATCACCACTGTTCTCTCTAGAAAGTGTATTTCTAGAACAGTATAGTTACTACATGTAGGGACTTTCATTTTTCTGTACTACAAAAATATTTCCATTTTATAATTCTCTCTATACATTTTAGGGGTTGCTTCCACCTCCTTAGACAAAACGTGAGGGCTACGATGCTTGGCCAGCCGATTTCAAGAGACCAACGAAGGAAAAGGACCACGTGTGATTTAGTGACAGCCCTCTCCTTGAGCAGAGCAAAAATCAAGAGTTGGCTCAAAGGTCTGAGCTCCAACATCCAGTTTAACTTTGATTTACGAAAAGTAGTCCAAAATGAAATCGAGTAAAGAACGAAATTTTCAAGGTCACGATTTTGGAAAAATCAACGATCCTTCGAAGTGGGCTATTCCGTGTCACCTGTTAGGGAGGCGAGCAGAGCTTAAGGCTAATTGCTTGGCAAAGGGCTGTGGGAGCTGCTGGAGTGTCTTGACTGTTTTGTTCCTGATGAGCTCATGGAGCGAGACCTCTGTCTGAGAACTGTTTTTCCTGGAAACTCCAAGTCCTCGAATATAGCATTTTCAATAATGTTTGCAGCTTCAGGCCGGTCCGTAGGGGATGGGGAGAGCATGTCTTGCACCATTACATACTGAAAGATAAAAACTGTTTTGTAATAAAAGGGCCACTAGCCAGCTGCCTAATTGAGAAGTCAGCCAAATGTTTCTATAGCTATACTAAGTTTGCGAGCCAGTTTCTGACACAACTTCTCCACTCAGCTACTGAAATACAAAAGCAGCCACAGACCCTATATAAACAGGTGCGCCTGGCTGTTCCCATAAAACTTTATTACCAAAATAGGCAGCAGGCTGGATTTGGTCTGTGGGTCATAGTTTGCCCAACCCCTGCCCCAAATATACATGGACCATTTTGGGGTAATTGGTTGTTTTCCAACATATAATAAAAGGTCTTCAGTCACATCTTTGAAACGCAGGCATACTCTGACTTTTAAAATAAATTCATCTTACAATTGTATGTGAATGTACAATTATCTCAAAGATTTCAATTAAAAAATAACCATGCCAGTGATCAGTACCTGGCCCTTTTTACTGATTTTTTGAACCCCTTTAATGTAACACAGATTCTGATGAGCGCCCCCAGGGATTGAATCATCGACTTTGCAAAATACATAACAGAATCGCTTTTGTAAAATATATTTCACTTTAGGCCGGCATATCTCTATATTGTTATAAAGTTCATTTTTAACGCAACCCTTCGTTATAATACTGAAAGATCAATTAGACTTTTTCCAACTTGATGACTAGCCACACAGTCTAATTTACCTAAACTTAATTTACTAAGAAAATTCAAGATTTATCAACACATAAATTTTAAAGTGATATGTTTGTGGACGTATTATGAAATAAACAAAAGCTGCAAAAAGAAACTTCAAAAATTCATTACACACAGTTCTCACCATCAAGACCAGCTTAATTTTCCCTTCCCACTCTTCTGGACTATGTCACTCTGAGGGGCATAACTCCAACACACAGAATCAGTGGAAATTAGTGACATTTTTTAAAAAAGAAGCCAGTTTTTAAGATCTCTCCCAAATTCACTAAGATAAAGAAATTAATGGCATGATCATAATGGCAACTCTACGGCTGTGAGGGTGAGCTAGGAGTTCAGCCTTATCGAAACGCAAGGTTGCTACAGTTCCCAGGTGGGGTGTCATGCAGCTTGGAGCACAGAGCACTAGGCCCAGGACCTGGGACCGAGTCACAGCCTTTGGTTTTAACAAGGTGTGTGTTCTTGGGATCAGGTCCCTTTCCTCTCTAGGCCTTAGGCTTCCTCATCTGTAAAACGGGGAAACTGATGAGCTGACTGCTAAGGACGCTTCAGGTTCTAAGTAAGATTCTAAAGAAAATAAAAGATGAGAATTAATACCAACCTCACGAGGATATTTCTGAGTAAATAGTGGTGGAAATTTGAGATCTCTTACATCAGTTAAGATCTGAAAAGAAAGAAAAGTGTTACTTATCTTTAAATCTATTTTGATATGTGGATCTATTTAAACATAGAGAGATTTTTTTTAAATTTATTTATTTTATTTATTTTTGGCTGCGTTGGGTCTTAGTTGCTGTGCACGGGCTTTCTCTAGTTGTGAGCGGGGGCTACTCTTCGTTGCGGTGTGCGGGCTTCTCACTGCAGTGGCTTCTCTTGTTGCGGAGCGCGGGCTCTAGGCATGTGGGCTTCAGTAGTTGTGGCACGCGGGCTCAGTAGTTGTGGCTCACGGGCTCTAGAGTGCAGGCTCAGTAGTTGTGCTGCACGGGCTTAGCTGCTACGTGGCATGTGGGATCTTCCTGGACCAGGGCTCAAGCCTGGGTCCCCTGCACTGGCAGGTGGATTCTTAACCACTGCGCCACCAGGGAAGCCCACATTTGTGTTCTTAAGTGGGTAACTTTTTCTACTAGTCACTAACCTCTTGTATTTGATATAAAAAGACATGGATTTTTTGTGTGTGTGTGGTATGCTGGCCTCTCACTGTTGTGGCCTCTCCCGTTGCGGAGTACAGGCTCCGGACGCGCAGGCTCAGTGGCCATGGCTCACGGGCCCAGCCGCTCCGCGGCATGTGGCATCTTCCCGGACTGGGGCGCGAACCCGTGTCCCCTGCATCGGCAGGCGGACTCTCAACCACTGTGCCACCAGGAAAGCCCTCTTTTTGTTTGTTTTTTTTTTTTTTGAGTGAAGAAAACCAAGTCAATTATGCTAAATTCTGAATATAAAATTAAACTAGTTATTTGGGAAATGTTCATGCAAACAGGATAACAGGGCCGTGTGTGACTGCTCTGAGGCTTAAATGAGGTAATTCAGGCAAACTACTTAGCGCAGTGCCTGACGTTCCTTTTGTAATGATGATAAAAACCAGTTTTGAGAAATGAAATAAATTAAATATGTCTTCATATTTCTTGAGAAATAAGCTGGAGTGTACTTGAACAAAAATATGAACTGGGTTGGCATTTGTCACTTCCCACTAAAGGGAAACAGATACTTCACTAGAAGAATCTATGCTGCAGGCCCTAGAATGGAGGGTTTCACCTGCTAATAGGTAGGTCGTACCAAACTAAGTGCAGATAAATGCTTGAGTCTGGACTCGCGGAATTAATTTTTAATCCCATAACATTCTTAAAGTTTTTATTTTATAACTTAGAATTTAAAAGAGACCTTGGCCATAACTCAATGGGGAAACAGAGAGTCTTTTCAACAAAAAGCATAAGCATAAAAGAAAAGAATGGTAGGCTGAACTTTAAAATTAAAATCTGCTACCCTGTGAAAGACACCATTAAGAAAATGAAATGGCAAGCCACAGACTGGAATAAATTAGTCACAATACATATACTTGGCAAAGGACTTGAAAAGACTGTCAAGGTCATTAGTTATCAGACAAATGCAAACTTAAACCACAGTATGACTCCATTATACCCCTATTAGAATGTCTAAAAATGTAAAGACTGAAACATAAGTGTTGAGTATGTGGAGGACCTAGGTCTCTCCTACGCTGCTGGTGAGGATATAAAATGACACTTTCTTATAAAGTTAAACCACTTACCACAGAGCTTATCAATCCTACCTCGTAATTACCCGAGACTAAGGATACATATGTATGTCTACAAAGAGACTTGTTCACAAATGTTCACAGCAACTTTAGTCGTAAATGTTTCTCAACAGGTAACTGGACACATGAACTGTGGTATATATACCATGGAATATTAATAAAAAGGAAGGAACTACTGACTTTATAGTGAGTCAAAGAAGGCAGACACAAAAGAGAATAGACATGTATGATTCAATTTATACGAAACTTTAGAAAAGACAGAACACAGATCAGCAGTTGCCTGGGATCCAGGTGGAGCCTGGAAAGACAGGGGACTGACTGGGAAGGAGCAAAAGGCAACTTTCTGGGGTGATACAAATGTTCTATATTTTGAATGTAGTGGTGATTATGTGGATGTATAAATGTGTCAAAACTCATAAAAATGTACAAAGTGGGTATGTTGTATGTATGTAAATTATATCTCAATAAAATTAATTAAAAAAAAAGATCTTGGTCAAATCATTGAATAGTCTCTTTTACATTTACCAATGGAATTTCAGAGGGGTTCTGGCTACACATGGCAGGTTTTCTACTATATTCCTAGCAAGCATTTTCACTAAAACAAGTGTCAAGGAAGGTAAAATGTACTGTAAGTCTATAAGGATGACTGCAATGGAAGAACAGATTACATTTTTGAAAGAGAGAAAGCAGTGGAAGCATAGCAGTTTCTTTAGCAGAACAGAGGAAGGTAAACCAGGCTGCCTGTGAGGGATAAAGCCAACAAAGAGGGAACTGATTAGCTGAGCAGAACCTGCTGGGCATGGGGGTGAGGCTCAAGGATGGCAGCAGGAGAGCCGTCGAAAGGTCTGTATACGGACGGAGTGATTTATCCCCAGATAACACATAAGGTGCACGGCTTGCAGGAATCTTGGTTCCCCGACCAGGGATCGAACCCGGGACCCGGGAGGGAAAGCGCCGAGTCCTAACCACTGGACCACGAGGGAATTCACCAAGAGCCCTATTCTTAAATATGAATGGACAGCTAAGGATTATCAGCATGAGAAACACACACACACAAATCATTAAAAGACTCAGAGATGCTGGTAGGGAGGGAAGTAAGTGTGACTATAAGGGGGTAGCAAGACGGAGTTTCCTGTGTTGATGTGACAGTTCTGTATCTGGATTGCAGTGGTGGTTACACAAACCTGTACTGAAATAAAATAACATGGAACTACATACATACACTGTACCAATGTCAAGTTTTTGTTGTACTGTAATTATGTCAAATGTAACTGTCAGCAGAAAGTGGGTGGAGGGTATCTCTCTGTCTTTGCAACTTCCTGTGGATCTATAATAATTTCAAAACAGAAAGTTAAAAAAAAAAATACCCAGAGGAAAGAGACAATATAGGGGGAAGAAAACTTAAAATATATACATACATGTAATTGAGATTCTCAGCAATGTGAAGATACTGACTTCATGTAAACAGAGCGAAATACTATAAAAACAGTACAATCTCGGACAATAAAAATTGGACTGTCAAAATAAAGGACTTAGGAAAGTCAGAATAACAAGTTAAGGAACTCCTGCAAAAAATAGTACAGTGCTTCCTTGGTGGCGCAGTGATTTAAGAATCCACCTGCCAATGCAGGGGACACGGGTTCAAGCCCTGGTCCGGGAAGATCCCACATGCCACGGAGCAACTAAGCCCGTGCGCCACAACTACTGAGCCTGCGCTCTAGAGCCCGCGAGCCACAACTACCGAGCACTGATAAAACTAAAGCCCTAAAGATTCCAGAAACGAAACTGTAACAGGTCCAAGATACCCAATATTAAAAAATCAGGCATCAGAATGGTATCTGCTTTTCAACAGCAGCGCTGGAAGCTGTAAGGAAATGGGGCAATGCTCTCAAGGTTCTGAAGGAAAGTTATCTTCCATCTAGAATCGGAACCTGGCCAATTTATCAGTTACGTATGAAAATGGAAAAAAAGGTACTTTTTCAGATACCTGAGGACTCTAAAAATTTCTTTCTCATACATTGTTTCTGAGGAATTTACTGCAGAATGTGCTCCAGCAAAATAAAAGAATAGTGCACGAAAATAAAACAGAGCAAAACATGGAAGCTAGGAAACAAGGGATCCAAGCCAGGGGAGTAGGGAAGTGCATCCTTGGATGACAGCTTACAGAAGGTCTAGGGGGCAACTGGTCCAGACTGGAGAACAAAGCTTTGAGAAGAAAGACTCCAGGGGAAAACAAATTAAATCTATCTATCTATCTATCTAGATAAGCTATACTGAAGCACAGAGAAAATATTGTTTGATATGTGACAGACTTTTGCACATTTGTTAAAAATTACGGCAAAAGTTCATAGAAAACTAAGCAATTGAGAAAAGGCAATTCTGAAAAAAAGGATTGTATCAGAAAGAAAAGAAAGTCAGGGTACATTATTTGGTCTAGCATAGAACAATATGTGCATGGCTTAGTTTAACCAAAAAATTTTTACATAACTACGTATTTTCGAAAATGTGTTTATTGAAATAAAATTCACATAAATAAAATTCACCATTTTAACCATTTTAAAGTGTATGAGTCTGTGATTTTTATTCTATTCAAAATGTTGTACAACCATCACCACTCTCTAATTCCGGAACATTTTCATCACCCAAAGAAAAGCCTTGTACTTATTAAGCAATCACTCTCCATCCCCTTCTACCCCCAGCTCCTGGCAACTACTAATCTACCTTGTCTCTATGGATTTGCCTATTCCGGACATTTTGCATAAATGGAATCATACAGTATGTGGTCTTTTATGTCCGCTTCTTTCACTTAGTGTGATGTTTCCAAGGTTCACCTGTGCTGTAGTATGTATCAGTATTTCGTTCCTTTTTCATGGCTGAATAATATTTCACTGTATGGGTCGACCACATTTGCTTTGCCATTCATGAGCTGATTGACATTTGGGCTGTTTCTACTTTCTGGCTCTTATGAAAATGCTACTATGAACATTTGTGTACAAGTTTTTGTGTGGACCTATGTTTTCATTTCTCTTGGGTATATACCTAGGAGTAGAACTGCTGGGTCATATGGTAATTCCATGTTTAGCTTTTTGAGGAACTGTCAAACTGTTTTCCACAGTGGCATCATTTTACATTCTTACCAGCAATGCATGAGGGTTCTAATTTCTCCATCTCCTCGGCAACACTTCTTTTCCGTTTTTGTTTTGTTTTGTTTTATTCTAGCCATCCTAGATGGTGTGAATGGTATCTCACTGTGATTTTGATTGGCATTTCCCTGATGAATAATGGTGTTGTGCTTATTGGTCATTTGTAATCTTCTGCAGAGAAATGTCTGTTCAAGTCCTTTGCCCATTTTTTAATGGGGTTGTCTTTTTGTTGTTGAACTGTAACAGTTCTGTATATATTCTGGATATTAGAACCTTATCAGATACATGATTCACAAATATTTTCTGTGGGTTGTATTTTCACTTTCTTTTTTAAAATAAATATATTTATTTTAATTATTTATTTTTGGCTGCGTTGGGTCTTCGTTGCTGAGCGAGGTCTTTCTCTAGTTGTGGTGAGCGGGGGCTACTCTTTGTTCCGGTGTGCGGGCTTCTCATTGCAGTGGCTTCTCTTGTTACGGAGCATGGGCTCTAGGCGCACAGGCTTCAGTAGTTGTGGCTCGCGGGCTCTAGAATGCAGGCTCAGTAGTTGTGGCACATGGGCTTAGCTGCTCCGTGGCATGTGGGATCTTCCCAGACCAAGGCTCGAACCCATGTCCCCTGCATTGGCAGGCGGATTCTTTTTTTTTTTTGGCAGGCGGATTCTTAACCACTGCACCACCAGGGCCGCCCTATTTTCACTTTCTTGATAGTGTCTTTTGATGTCCTTATAACTACACACATTTTTTTAAAAAATACTTTGTTTTTTTAAATTTATTTTATTTATTTTTGGCCACACCGTGAGGCATGTGGGATCTCAGTTCCCTGACCAGGGATCAAAATCGAACCCGTGTCCCCTACAGTGGAAGCGCGGAGTCCTAACCACCGGACCACCACAGAATTCCCCATAACTACTTAAATTTTGATGCCATATGATTCCCGATCCTTTAACATACGTTGGGCCTGTTTTATTTTCCTTTCTGGAAGCTTTTAGTGCCTTTACCTCTGGTATTCTGAAATTTAGCCACTTTGATTTTTAAATTATTTTCTTTTTTTCCTATTTATTGTATAGAACACTTGGTAGGTCCTTTTAGTTCTATGTGAGAACTACATCCTGTTCTACCGTGGCCAGGAGTCAACAGATAAGGTCTAACACTGATAAATTAAGAAATGGTGATAAGGACATAAACTTTGGAAATACGGAAGTAAGTACAGGGACAACAGCTGGAAAAGTGGAGGGTAACCACTTATGAAGTACGGGGAAGAATGCGACAGAGGTCTACTTTTAAAAGACTTTCAGTACTGTTTTCCTTAAAGGCCATCACCTTGGTTTATTCTGAGAGGGGCAAAAAAAAACCTAATCATGCTTTAGTTTGCCACCTTTTAAGTATGTGAGTGTATGGCCACTTGTCCTCTGGAAAATTCTTCTCTGACCAACCAACACCGTCACCCTCACTCCCTTACTCTGTGCGTTGCACTTATTACAAATTTAAGGAACAGACAACTCGACTCAACAGTTTTTGAAGACTGAGCTTTCTGTGGACGCAAATAGTCTACAAATCCTTTCTGCGTCACTCACGTGACCTCTTCTACGTCAACCAGTCTGCTGGTATTAGGAGTAAGTTACTCTTCTTCTAAAACTCTTTCTTTTGTGAATTTAAGATTTAATATTTTCTTTTTCTACCTTTTTTGAGGGGGGAACACTTACCCTGACCCTCTCCATATGAGTGCCGAATGGGTACAGCAATTCAAATAGAATGAGGCCTAAAGAAAAGATGTCCACTTTATGAGAGTAGTTGTTGCCATGAATCTGAAATCCCAAATAAAGAAGAAATATTAGGAAAACATTCACGGAGATAGTACAACGGATAATACGGCATCAGGGCATCTAAGTGTACGTAGAAATGTTAGCAAAGAGTTAATCATCTCTCAAGCCTCTTTTCTTCAACTCACCACAGCAAGAGTAATTAAAGTACTCAGCATTACAGAAGGAAGCCCAGGTATAGCTCTGAGATATGTATCAGTAAAATAGGCCCAGCGGAAACCTGGAGCCAGGAGCCCGGAAAAGCTGCTCCCCCCACCCCTGGGGTGAAGTTTTTCAAAGCCAGCACTATCTAAAGCAAATCTCTCATTTCTAACCAACTTAGTCCTCACCTATTTTTATGAGAAAATCTTCATTACTCCAAACCACTAATCAACCGTGGTTAGCCCTCATTACGGCACTTAATTATGGACTTCACTGCATTCTTGGTTTTATTTTTCATGTGTGTTATTTCTTATTCTTCACAACTAGATTATAAAGTCCTGGAGGGAAGGGAACTGCTTCTTTTGAATTCTCACCATCCAGCACTGGGCTAAGTACAGAGAAGGCCCTCGATAAATACTTACTTGTTAAAATGAACAAATGAATTACAACCCAACTACTCTATTAAACAAAGCCTCATTCAAATTAAAAGTGACCTCCTGCGGACTCAGAAGAACCCTTTTATTTGGGAAAATGACTCCAGGCACATAACGACACTTGGCAAAGGCCAAGGAAGCCCTCCCTTTGGGGGATCACAAGGTATTTGTCAGGGATGAGGAACCCTTTACAACCTCCTCCCTAAACTACACTTGATACCTGTCTCCCTGGTTCCTTCTGAGACCCAGCCTGCCTTTCTGCTTATAGACTATCAGGTGGGAAGTTCCAGTGACTGCAACAGGCTACACCATCTTCCTCCCTTCCCTTAGCTGTTACTGGGGTCTGGGAAGTATTCAAAGAAAATATGTTCAAAACAGAGTTTACAGGGGTACAGTGAAAAGGACACCTCATACACTATCTGGAGAATATTAATGAACACACCTTCATGAAAGCAACCTGGCAATAAGGGGTTACTACCACTTAATGGTTCTATTTAAATTTCATCCACCCCAGGGTAGATGGAAATGCAGACAGAGATTTGTACACAGGGATGGTTATCACAGTGATATTCCTAACAGCAAAATGGCTAAGTCACTAAAACATCCAAAACAAACGTTTCCCTTCTTAAACTCACTTTTAATAGGTAACACATTCACATGATTCAAAAAGAAGTATACAGTCAAGCTTCCCTCCTGTCCATCCCTTATCTGCCCAGTTCCCACCAGTCACTTCCCCTCTACCTACCGCCCCCAAAACTATTTGTTTCCTGTACATCCTTCGAGAGCTCTTTATATAAACATAAGCAAATATATAGCTATCTTTCCCCCCTTTACACACTATACACACGTTTCTGCCCCTGGCTTTTTTCACTTAGGAGATTCTTTTTTAACTCTTACCTATCTAAAAATGCCTAATTTCTTTTATATGAATAACTTTATGGCCAGAAGCATGATTTGTGGGTCACAGCTATTTTTCATCCAAACTGTAAATGTTGATTTATTGTCCTCCGGGGTTGAGTGTTATAGAAAACAAGCTCTTTAAGCTGTAATGTGCTTTTTTATCGTACCTAAATACTTACACTATTTTTCCCTTATCTTGAAATTCAAGATGTCTAAGTACAGGGTTCTATTAAAAAATTTCTTTAATTAAATAAAAAAATAAAATTTACGCATAAAAAAGAAAACGCTTGAATAATGCAAACAACTCAAGAAGTCTAAAAGGATACTGTACAACAGTAAAATAAAGGCCAGTTCCTATGACTGGTCTCTGATATGACCTTCCAAAGATAAACTAATCCATCAGTTCTCAAAGTGTGGTCTATGGATCCCTGGGGACTCCAACACCATTTCAGGAGGTCTACAAAGTCAAGACTGTTTTCATAATAATTCTGAGACATGATTTGTCTTTTCACTGTGTTGACATTTGCACTGCTGAACCTTAGCATGAACCAAGGCAGCAGCACCAAACCATACTAGTAGTAATTATGTTCTTCAATGAAAGGAAGGAAGAAAGGGAGGGAGGGAGGGAGGCAGGAAGGAAGGGAAAAAGGAAGGGAGGAAGGAAGACAGTTTCACTTAAAATGTCCTTGCTGAAGCAGCAAAAATTATTAATTTTATTATATCTTCCCCCTTAGGTATGCATTTTTTAAATATTCTGTGTGACAAAATGGGCAGTATTCATAAAGCATTTCTGCTCCACACCGAAGTACAATGGTTGTCTCAAGAGAAAGCATTTGTGCAATTGTTTGAGTTACTATATGAACCAGATGCTCTTTTCATAGAGCTCCATTTTGACTTGAAAGAACAACTGGTAGACAAACTGTGGTTATTCATACTTGGATACCTGACAGATATTTTCTTAAAGATGAACAAAGTGAGAATGGAACTTCAAGGAAGACTGACAGCATTCGTTGCCAAAAATAAAAGTTGAGCTTGGAAATGAATGTCAGAATTTTGGAAAATTTGTGTCCATCACTGGGAACCTGACAGCTTCCTAATACTTAAAGCCTTTTCTGGTGCGACTGGTGGTGATATTAACCAGAGTGATTTTTTTAATACTGTATAGTGAATTGTGACAACTTTTGGAAAAGATGCATAACTTAGGGAACCAACAGTTTCCAAATGACCAATGCACAATTTTATAAAATCATGCGTGGGTCAAAGGTCCATTCAATGTGCAAAGTGGACCAACGTATGTTAAAGTAACAGAATACAAAATGTTCACTGCTATGGTTTTAGATTCAGGGCAAATGACTCTTCAGAAACTTTTGCTTATTGTATTTTGATATGCTGTCAAAGAAGAATGCCCACAACTACCTGAAATTGGTATTAAAATATTCCTCCTTTTCCAACTGCCTATCTATGCGAAGTCAGATTTTCTTCATATACTTCAACCAAAATAACATAGTGCAAGGGATTAAATGGAAAAGCAGATATGAAATCTCTTTTAAGTCAGACAGTAAAGAGCTTTACAAAAATGTAAGTAAATGCCACTCTTCTCACTAGTTTTCTTTCGGAAAATATTTATTTTTCAGAAAATATCTTGAAGATGTGACTGATTTAATACTGTCATTTTTAACTGAATTAAAAAGTTTACAAATTTCTGTTTTAATCTCTAATATGGCAAATACTGATGGATAAAATTCCTTAATTCTTGAGCTCTCTATCACGTTTACAGGTATGAACAGGCATTGATCAGAAAGTCTGAGAACCGCCGATCTAAGCATATGTAAGCTTGTGAATACCATCAGCGCAGTGGTGGCCAGGGATGCTGTGCTGAAGCTCCCAGGATGCCTTGCTCCCACCACTCTTCCAGTCTCTGTTCAGTTTATGGAGCTTTTCCTTGGAAGACTAAGCATCCCACAAGGCAACATAGCTCAGCCTGTCCACCTTTATTTCCTGCCATGGTACGTTCTGGAAGCTGCCTGTGGATTATTGTAGAGAATAGCTTAGAGCACTACCTCCAGCTGGCTCTGAAAACAGTTCCTGCATAGTTCACACAGGGTGAATGACAATTAAGTTTGGGAGGAGGACATTCAAAATCTCATTCTAAGTTTCTGGTTGCTGTCAGGTTCCGGTTCAGAGGGTGAGCACATTTCATGCATTTTTAGTAATTTTCTTCCTCCACACGCCAATTCACGTTGTGGAACTGTACCCTAGCTGTGTTGCCTGTGGAACACTTCTGCCAGTTTTCATCATTTTCAGCTTTTATTTTATTGGGTATTTTAAACACAGCACGGATGGAGATTCATGGCGCACATCTAGCTTGTTGCCACCCTAATTAAAAATCTCTTTATTCCTCAGAAAGAAATCGAAAGGCTCACCTGTTCTGGGCTCATATACAGCTTGGTCCCCACTTGTCCTGTGTGTCTGGCGTACCCTGGCATTGGGGTCAGAACCAGCTGGTCTTCTTCATCCTGGTCCATTGCAGTCACCAATCCAAAGTCTCCAACCTTGACCACATCATCCATTGTAAAGAATATGTTGGAAGGCTGGAAAAAGATGAAACAGACAAAAGCGTGGTGGGTGTGTATGGAGAAGGAAAGTGAAGAGAATTATTTAAATGACTACAGAAAATAAATACAAGACACTAGATATTCCCAAGCATGTTTCTCTTTACAATGGGCTAATATGAAAATAAAAACAATCCTTCAATGCTAGACAAGTACTGTGAGTAAAGAAGAGGCAAGGGTAGCAAAGGGAGTGAATATTTATTGAACATCTATTTATTTATTTAAATTTTATTTATTAATTTTTTGGCTGTGTTGGGTCTTTGTTGCTGTGCACGGGCATTCTCTAGTTGCGGTGAGCATGGGCTACTCTTTGTAGTGGTGCCGGGCTTCTCACTGCGGTGGCTTCTCTCGTTGCGGCTCTAGGCTCTAGGCACAAGGACTTCAGTAGCTGTGGCTCGTGGGATCTAGAGCGCAGGCTCAGTAGTTGTGGCGCACGGGCTTAGCTGCTCCACGGCATGTGGGATCTTCCCGGACCAGGGCTCAAACCCATGTCCCCTGCATTGGCAGGTGAATTCTTAACCACCGCGCCACCAGGGAAGTCCCTGAACATCTATTTAAATAAAGCCTTAGAGATTCACATTCCCTAGGGTCTACGGTACTTAAACCTCAATCTCATTATTCTATATACTCTCCCTTGGCAAGCTCCTCTACATTTATGACCTAAGCCATGATAATAATAATAATAGCAAATGCATATATAGCACTTGCAATGAGCCAGAAGCTGATCTAAGTAGTTCATTACTATTAACTCATGTAATACAATGCTTTTAGTCCTATTGGTCCCTCATTTCACAGATGTGAAAACTGAGGCCCAGAGAAGTTAGGTAAGTTGCCCAAGGTTACCCAGCTAGTAAGGGGTGGAGCAGGGATTCAAACCCAGGCAGTCTGGCTCCGTGAGAAAAGGACTTCTGCTCCACTGCCATGGGTCCAATTCTTGCCCAACGGTAGCTAATCACTACTATTTGGTGAATGAACGAAACAGACCGATCTTCGGGCTTGTGTCTGAGAGGGGAATGTAGGCTGTCAAGGAGAATAAGAGCTCTTAACTACAACCTTGTGTTGCCTCTTCTAATACTCACAGGCTCCCATATACCCCACAACCCCCGTCCCGAGTTCTAAACTCTCATATGCAACTGTTCATAAGATACATCTAACCACGGGCTCCTCAAACCCCAAATCCCCTGCATGAAATACATCGTCTTTCCCTAGAGCCTACTCTCAGCCCACATGACCACCATTCATAGCCCTTGAAATAAGGGAAAAGGAAGCCATTTAGCTCATAAAATTGACTTTCACTGGGCTTCAAATACTGCCAGATGAAAAACATTTTACTGCAAAACTCCAAAGTGCCATCATACAGTATGGACTTTGAAACAATGAAGTTATTGCATATAACCAACATCTACGGTGATACCCTCCTACTTTCCCTCAAATAACCTTGTAAGAGAGACAGGCCTTAAATTTCATCTTTCCTCCCCTCTCCGTGCTCTGCTGTCAGCTGTTATCTACCCAACACTAACAGACTTTTTTTTTTTTTTTTTTTTGGTTCTCCAGCATCTTTCCATTGCCCTACGCTTCCACCAAAAGTATCCTGATGTGACTTCGGGAACTCTCTTCTTCTGGGCAGCAAGTCCATGGCTCATACGGGATGTTATCTGGAGGTTGCATCCAGAACTTGCATCCACCAATCAGCATAATCCCAGCCTCTGGCCAGGCGACTGGTTTAGGGACGCATATGTGTTCCTGGCTTATCGATTAGAAGAAAACCAGGTAAATCAACTATACTCCAATAAAAATTAATTTTAAAAAAAGGCTCATTTAAATGAAAAAAAAAAAAAAAAGAAAACCCAGGACTTCTGATCAATAGCAGGGGAAAGTGATACTTTTCTCCCCAACACCTCCAAAAGACTTTTCCTGAGAACTTCTGGCAGCTGTGTTGAGACTGATACGTGACAAACACGTGACCAAAATACAAAAAGGTTAGAGGGCCTAGAAGGTTTAACATTAGGCTCAATGATAGGTCAGAATGAGCACAATACATAGCTTTTCAACTGGGAATATGTATATATATAAAGAACTCAGTCACTTTGCTGTTCACCTGAAACTAACACAACACTGTAAATCAACCGTACTTCAATAAAAATAAGTAAATAAATAAAATAAATGACTTTAATAGAAAAAAAAAACACATTGAAACCCTTGGGTGATGTTCCACAAAAACAGACCTTGAGGTCCCTGTGCATGAGCCCTTTGCCGTGCAGAAACTCCACCGCCTCCGCGATCTGCAGGAAGATGTGCAGACACACGCTCCTCTCTCTTTCCTCAATGGTGCAGCGGCTGTTCAACCAGTCTTTGAGGTTTTCCTTTCTGCACAGCTGCATCTGGATGTAAAGATACACCTTTGGTGAACTGGGTTGGAGTTTTTCCACAGAGTTTTTAGTGAGATCTAAACTTAAAGTGGTTGGTCTTGAAGGAGAAATAGACAAAGTAGGTTCCGAGGAAGACTTGCTACTGGAATGCTGGACTGCAGTTAGTTTATCAGCACAATGGTTGCCCACAGGCGGTCGGTTCGTTTTGGGCTCTTTGCTGGATGCGTTATCACAGCCGGAATCTTCAAATACTATAGAAGAGGAGGTTCGCTCCCTTGACCTTACGTAAGGGGAAGCTTCAGAAGGACAAAGTTCAAAAGAGTGTCCCTCATCATTGCCATCCCTAGTACCGTCTTCCCCCTCGCAGTCTGTAATGCAGCTGTCCTGGAGGTTGCACACCGCGTCCACCGACTCACTCGTGTCTCTGTGGTCCATTCCGGAAAATTCCAGTGGAGAGAACTGGCTCTTGGATGAACCTGTCTGGCCACAGGAAATCCCGACCGAAAAAGACCTACTGCTTCTTGGAGAAGGGGCTATGATTTCAATGCGTTCCTTTGTAGAGAAAGGATCCATTCTGCATATTTTAACGGACGGCGCATCCGCGGGACTAGGAGAGGTGAGCGGCCAGTCTGTGCTAAGAGTGGGAGAAGTACAAAGGGATGAGAGTGAATACGTGTTGATTAAACTATGTGAACTACATCCTTTGTTTGCTTATTTATTGACTGATGTATTTTCAATGAAGTACAGTTGACTTACAGTGTTGAAACTACATGCTTTGTCTCCAAAGCTTCAACTATAATAAAGCCAGTTACCAAGTGACAACATGGAAATTCAATGAAAACATGCCACACGAGACAAAGAACATCACAGCCCATCCATTCCTGAATTGGAACTCTTGCTTTTAAACTGGAAACAGTTATCTGGGACTGTCATGCCCAGAGCAGCCAAGGCCTATGTGCCAAACACAAAGCACAGAGGAAGACCAAGGGCAGAACCCCTTGGTGGCTGTGATTCGGAAGCCCCCATCCCAATTAGGGCTTGAGACGCAGGGTCACTTCACCTGGTCCTTCTGTGGTTTGGCTACTGGCTGTGTATATAAGTGTCATTGTAACTAGGTACCTCATGTGGATCTAGGGCTGTGTTTGGTACTTTTAGGCAGGAATTTTACTCCAGCTCTTTACTAAATAGTCTATTTGTAGCCTGCTCCCTTTTTGTTCTCATCGAGTAGTGTTTAAAAGCGCCTTCCTTCCTAGAGAACAGCATATTTAACGTGGGAATTATCTTCAGGCTGCCCAAGTTCATGGTTTTGTTTGCTTTTTGGTTTTTGGCCTCACCGTGCGGCTTGCGAGATCTTAGTTTCCCGACCAGGGATCGAACCTGCGCCCTTGGCAGTGAAAGTGAGGAGTCCTAACCACTGGACCACCAGGGAATTCCCATAAGTTCATGTATTTTTTTTTTTGTTGATGTGGACCATTTTTTAAAGTCTTTATTGAATTTGTTACAATATTGCTGCTGTTTTATGTTTTTTGGGGTTTTTTTTTTTGACTGCGAGGCATGTGGAATCTTAGCTCCCGGACCAGGGATTGAACCCACACCTCCTGCATTGGAAGGCAAAGTCTTAACCACTGGACCACCAGGGAAGTCCCAAGTGCTTGTAGTTTTAACTGCAAATAGTTTAAAACTGCTTTAGAAAGGAGTTGGAAATTGCTAACTACTAAGAAAGTAAATGAAAATTTAAAATAAAAAATGGAGGGCTTCCCTGGTGGCGCACTGGTTGAGAGTCCGCCTGCCGATGCAGGGGACACGGGTTCGTGCCCCGGTCCGGGAAGATCCCACATGCCGCAGAGCGGCTGGGCCCGTGAGCCATGGCCGCTGAGCCTGCGCATCCGGAGCCTGTGCTCCACCAACGGGAGAGGCCACAACAGCAAGAGGTCCGGGTACCGCAACAACAACAACAACAACAACAACAAAAATGGAGACAAAAGCAGACAATATCTCTTATTGAGAAAGACCGCTGTAAATCCTTCAGTGAATTATAAGTCATAGAGCTCTATCTACCAATGATTTTAGAAATTCATGTTCTGGACAGAAAAGAAAAAAAAGTTCATGTTCTAAAAACTAAATCAACCTTTCACTGAACAAGCGACTAGAGAATGTTCCAAAACATGATGACAGAAACAGTAATCTGCTGTTATTTTTCTTTAAAAAAAATCATCTCTAAAGTTATAGAAAGGATATTTTGTTCATGTAAGCCAAAAACTAGCCTGAAATAAATACTAGTTTTTAAGTCTATGTCTAACCAAGTTACCTTTCATCTTTCAGCCAAATTTCATCCATTTTCTCTTGCCACTTCTCTGGTGGTGCTTCCAACCAAGCATTGAAATATCTAACAATTCCTGGGTGTTCAAGCTTGGCTAAGGCTTTAACTTCTCGCATGACCTTTTCCCGAGCTAATTCCCTGAAACAGAGAAACAATGAAGACACTGAAGGTTGCTCTGATCTGAAGAAGCAATCATATCCAAAGACAGTACAAAACAATAAAATAAAATTCTCCCTTGTTCTAAAATGGGGAACAGACGAGTCAGCCTAGCGGCATAATTCTAAGAAGCCAAAGAGTAAATAAGTCTTTATTAGAAAAAAATATGTATTTCTAGTATTTCTTTTTTCTTCCAGAAATAAATGCTTACAAGTACATCTATCCATTCAAATAAAGAGTTCTTAGCTGACTAAAAATGAATGACTAAAGACCCTTGAAGATAATTGCTTAATGCTTGTTAATTAATAGGGGGATGAATAGGTGGAAGTGAAGTATTCAGAAAAGAGAGCTCAGCCTGGCAGCTCCGGAGGATGGAGAAGGACCAGCCCGACAAGGTACATACAACAATCCAAAAGGCTTGTACGAGCACCTTTGTCTGTTTAAAGCCTCAACTACTGAATATCATAGGCAATGATGTTTAACCAGAAAAGCATCTGGATTTGATCTTCTGCTTTGACAGCTTTTCTGATGGATCTAAGCTCACATTCTAGGGATCCCACCATCACCTGAAACAACATAATAAATATAAGTTATATCCTCTTCCGTCCCCAAGAGACAGTCAGCTACTCCCACTTTTCTCTCTGTGTTTCATTACTGTTAATGGTCCCACCCTGAGAATCCTGGTAGGTTTCTGGATTTTCCATATTCAGTGACCAAATCCTATCAGTTTCTCCTTTTTAACTCCGGATACTCATTCCTTCCTCATCCATCTCCACTTCTGCTGCACTAATGCTCTGTATCTTAGGACTGAACTTCTGCAAAAAAAAAAAAAAAAAAATCTCCTAATGAACACTCCTGTCTCTTACTACATACCACCTCCACTTTGATCACGTCATTCTTCTGCCCAAAGGCACAACTGTCTATGGAATAAAATCTAAACTCCTCTGCTTGGCATTTAAGATGCTGGAACCCATCTTTGCCATCTTTCTTCCATACTCCCCTTCATTCTCTTTTTTTTTTTTTTTTTTGGGCTGCACAGTGTGGCTTGTGGGATCTTAGCTCCCCAACCAGGGACTGAACCCATGCCCGCTGTGTTGGAAGGGCAGTCTTAACCACTGGACCGCCAGGGAAGTCCCTCCCCTCCATTCTTACCCTTGCTCCACTTGTGCCAGAATCCTCAACTAACCTCTACATCCCCTGCAAATGTTTGCCTAGAGCCTATGCTCAGGCCATTTCAGGTACTTGGCCATCCCTCCCCTACATGTGTGTCCACCAAGGGACAGGTTACCCCTGAACACGGCGCAGACAACACTACCACCACGAGGCTTGCCTTCCTTGACTGCCTTTCGGCTACCTCTGCACTTTCTTCATGAGAAGCTGTTTACTAAATTAAATCACAAGTCACAATCTTCCTGGCTTTGCAGTTATTTGAGTATATATACAAAGGTCTCAAATAGTTATAGACTCTTGAGGGCAGAAGCCTTTCTTAATTTTATATCCTATGTGGTACTTTGTACACGTGAATATTTAAACTACTCAAAACTTATACACCAAAGAAAAGAATTAGTCCCATAGTACTCAGACTGTCCCATTCCTATGTCCCTATCTGTTGGACAGCATGTTTAACTGCTAATTAGGAAGACAGCCCAGAAATTAGTGCACATTCAATCAAGAATCCAGAGGAGGCTTCCACAATAGATGAAAAGGACGGTGTAACTGAAAGCCCATCATCTTAAGCATCACGCTGTTCTGAGCCCCAAATTCTACTTCTAGGAATCTATCCTAAGGAAACAGACGTGACCAAAATTTTATATAAAAGATGAACAATGCCAAGTTGTTTTTTTTTTTTTTTTGGCCGTGCCGAGAGGCATGCGGGATCTTAGTTCCCTGACCAGGGATCAAACCCAGGCCCCCTGCAGTGGAAGCACGGAGTCCTAACTAACGGACTGCCAGGGAAGTCCCCAAAGTTATTTTTAATTGCAACAAGTTGGAAACTTAAATATTTAAAAATAAGAAATGGTTAAATGAGACATGGCACAAGTATTAATTGGACTATTTTCCAGTCACAAAACACTTTCAGTATATTTTAGCATTTCGATGACATACTCTTAATAGCAAGGAAAACACTGAGAATACAATGAAGGAAGCAACAGATAAAACTGTATTGTACTGATATCTGTGCTACGAACTAGGTAAATTTATGACAGAAAAAAAAAAAATCAAAAGAAAATACCCTAAAATGTTAAAAGTGTTTATTACTAGGTAGAGTACACATGGATTGTTTTTTGTTTTAATACTATTCCCTTATTTTCCACAATAAATATAGATTATTTTTAAATGGTGCTATGTATTAAATTCTACAGTTATTAAAATTCACTATGGGAATGCCCTGAGTTGTCAGGAATCAAAAACAAGGGCATATTTTTTAAGTAGATACAAAGCGGTCAAAGTAGATGACATTTTTAAAAGATAGCTAGTTACCTGGTAGTACTGAGAACATAAGATTCAGAAGGTCAGAAACTCTGTTTTCTATAGTCTCTATGGAGTATAGTAAGGACATATTGCCTATGAGATTAGATAATACAGTCCTAACTCCAAGTTTACTAAAAGTACCATCCATTACCTGTTGGGGAGACGGATTCTCTTGATAGCATAATTGCAGTCATCAACTTTGTTTCTAGCTTCAAAGACAACTCCAAACCCTCCACGACCCATGCACTGAATTGGTTCAAAATCTGTTAGATAGCTTAAAAAAAAAAAGTAAATTTTAAAAAGTTTGTAATAGTTTTAAATTTTGTACTAATAGTTCAGTCTTATTTTACGATATGTAAAAATGTATAAACTAAGTTTCCTAGAACTTATTTTAGTAGAGTGCAGTTTAAATTCTAATAGCATTCTTTGCTTTTCTGTCTGTATAAATGAAGCAAACACATTTTAATTTTGCCCCTGGGAATTTTATTACAAATTTTAAAACTTCTGCTTAATGGGGAATCACTTGTTAATCACTTATTCTTACAGCAATTTTAGTACTGTTCTGTCCTATCCAATACTTTCCATCATCCATCAAAACAGTTTATCCTTAATTCTCTAAACTTATACCTCCTGTGGCATTCTGTATTCAAGTAGAAAATATGTTTTAATCTTATGTCAGTGCCTGTATATTTTATGGAAAAGATTTAATCAGTCCCATTACATTTATGTATGTTTTTAGCCAGAAACCTTCTCTAGGAACCAGAGCTAACTGAAATTCGCTGGGGTGCCTCAGGAGTCAGTGTGCTCATCACCCAAGGTATCTGGACAGAAGCTAACTCACCATCTGGCACTTACAGATGGACCTCCACTTTGTAGCCCATTTCCCCTGTTGACCTCTCTGATCTGCTCTGTATATTCCAGCCAACTTGCACCGGGCTCTCTCACAACTTCAGAGCTTTTGCTTCTGCTATTTGCTCCAGGGGGATGCCCTACTTCTTTGGACTTGATAAAAAAACTCTGTTTTTCTTTCATTCTGCTCATCTCACCACCTCTATAAGGCCTTCCTAGACCCCTATCTTAATGTTCTTATAGCGCTTTGCACATACTACTTGGAACTGTTTAAACTTAGTCTCAATATTTTGCAGTCATTTATAAGCAGCTTTCTCTCTCCACTACTACCGAATTGTAGGGACCTTGACTGCAGGAGAGAATTCTTTTTTCTCTTTGTACTTCCAAAGCCTGGGCTCACCTGGCAAATAGAAGGTCTAACAAATATCTATCGAATAATGCATGAGCTAATAAATGAATGAATGCACACATGCGTGCTGTGGAAGACATTCTTCCAGCCGTGTGAGGGGGAGTTGAATTAGATGATCTTTGGTGTCCCTTATAAGGCTAACTTTATTACTTTATGACTTGCACACTCATATTAATTTAGCGGTTGGCTCAGCTTTAGAGCATGGTGTTAAGGAGGAGAGACAATAGATCCCAACCCTCCATGGGCCAATTACCTTCACAGAGAATGAAGAGTAATGATCTGTGTCCCTAAGAATAGCTAGGCAAGGTACTTGAGTACAAATCCATCTCCCCAACTGCAAAAGCCCATGAAGTTCTTGTCCTACTCCTGGAGAGCCAACTGAATTATCTTCCTACATTAAAGAAAACACTCATATGAAAATGGATATATCTTTTGAAAGGAGAAACATCTTATATCTGATTACAGCTTTTATAAATATAAGTATCATCTTGCCTCAGGTCCCAACTTAGGACTTAAATTCATGACTGAATCCACAGCTCATGTTCTTAATAATGCCTAGAACATAGTAGGCACTCAATAGACATCAGGTATTATACAGAGATCCTGTATTTTTAAAAACAATCAGCTGTTCTCTTCATAGTGAATAAAATGGAAGGAAAATTGAGTCTAATTCAATTTTAGAGTACATTATTCCAATTCTCTTCACAACAGCCTTACAAATATATGCTTAATCACCATACCCCACTCACCCTCCCTTCTCCACCTGTCTCTTACTCATGACTTATTATGACGCCCTCTTGAATCATCACAGCCAGAGTCAGTTACTTATAGCTCATGGCTTTTTTCCTTATATGTTTATGTTTTCTCTAGTATCACCTTCCCCGGTAGACTTGAAGCTCCTCCAGGGGATAGGACCAGTCTTTTTATTTCTCCCAAAGCCTGAGGTACTGCACACAGTCGTTCAGAAAGATGCTGAATGAACAATGAATGGCTTAGGTACTGAACTGCCCATGGAGTTGACGGGCCCCTCTCCTCTCCCTCACTGTAAGTCAGCATTTTTATTAGCAAGGGTATTAAAGCCCTTACCACTTGCTAGTCACCTACTACGTTTTGCTAAAACATATGGATTACAGCCAATTCTCAACTTTTGAGAAGATGGTATGAATGCAGCTTAGATTAGGTCCATAGATAATCAAAATAACCCACATTTTAGCTGTAATTTTCCATCTTTTCTGTCATAAAGCCATTTCCCTAGATATTTATTAAGCAGTAAGTTTCATATAGAGCTTCTCCTTGTCCCTGTATCATGAAAGTGCTAAGCATGATATCAAAACGAAGGGGAAAAGTAGCAATAATCCATGTAAGAAAATTGAACCGCAGCACCATTTCTTGTCCCACAAAGCATCAAAATCCGTACACCTGACAGATCTGCTTACAGATTTTCTACTTTTATTTTACTTTCAAATTATCTGAATTGGCTGCTTTTTAAGTAACCCAACTCCCTCTTCTGTTTTTAAAAATGATCTATTCTATTGGTGTATTTCTCCCCAGTTTTCTGCTTCTTATTTTAGACAGAATAAGGATGAAATAAATAACTGAGGATTAAGTAACATAGGAGATTTATGCCATATTCCAATAACATAAAAATTATTGTTTGGTATTAATGCCAAGCCCAGTACATGGTAGACCCTCAATAACTATGTCATCTGAATAACAACTCAGTTCGGCGGCTGTAATTCTTTTTTTTCTTTTCCTTCCAGTTTTATTGAGAAATAATTGACATACGTGGTGGCTATAATTCTAAACTTTTATAACACTCTATTTCTATCCCTCTTCTGTACCACCTTGAATCAGTTTAAGTAACTTGAGGGATGTGTCTGTTTTATTTACCTAGTCATACATTTTTTTTTTTAAAAATTAAACAATATCTTAGTTTAGAGGTTGTTTCTTCTTTCTTAAGTGAAATACAGTCGGCATACAATATTATGTAAGTTTCGGGTGTACTACATAATGATTTGACATTTGTATACGTTACGAAATGACCACGACAAGTCTAGTAGTCATCTGTCCCCACAGAAGTTACTGCAATATTATTAACCATATTCCTTATGTTGTATATTACAATCCCTGCGGTTTATCATGTAACGGGGGGTTTAGAAGCCAATGTTGAGTGAACAACTATTCTGTTCTTCGTCCATTTCACCCACCACTCCCCCTCTCCCTTCTGAACCACCCATTCATTCTCTGTACCTAAGGCCATTTCTTCCTGGGTTTGAACAGTTAGCGCCAGAAGCTACAGCACACATACATTTTATGAAAGGACTCATACCGTGATACATATCCAGAATTTTTTATGTCATTCCGGCTACTGTCATTAGCTTCTCCACTGACAGAATCATATTTATTTTCAGTTTGACACTGAGTTTCAGATTCTTTCCTTTGCTGATGAGGTGGGGGAGAAAAAAAATCCCTCTCAGTACAAAGCTGAATTGAGGTTAGCTGACAATATTAGGCTATAAAATAACACTGAAGAATAAATAATATTGAGAAAAATAAATGCATTATAAGAACATAAAACAACAGCATTTCCTTTGTCAAAGGGAAAGGGAATGATCAGGGTGGAGCCAGACTGCAATGGGTTGAGGAGCGAAGGGGACAAGGACGTGGAGGCAAGAGTATGGGCAACAATGATTTTAGGGTAAAACTTAAGGAAGTGGACCCCTTGCTCCTCACATGCACACACGCACACGCGCACCCCGCCCCCAAGTTTTCTATAGTCCCAACACTTTGAAAAAGATGAGATTCTAAAAAATGTCTTACTCTGTGAGGATGAGGATGGAAGAGTCTGCGCACAATGAAAGTTGTTGCTACGATACAAAACAGAATGGTTCCAACTATTTCTTTCCACCAGTGTAAGAGGAGAACGGGATCCTTTTTGCGGATACTCTTGCTGTAATTCGGGTTGTCGAGAAATCGGACTGTGATCTGTGTGCTCCGTTTGTTCCTTTCCCTCTTGTAGTATGGCAGGTAATAACCATTATCTTCAACAACAAACATTAAAAGTGTTTTTTTTTAAAAAGATAAACCAATATAGCTCCACCTTTAATTGCTAAAAATTATCTAATTTCCTACGACTTTTAACACTAATTCCTTTTTCTAAAGTTTCATCTCCTCTTTAGCACATCTTTCTATTGAATAATAAGACTAAAAACAACCCTTAAGGGCTACTCCATTCATTATCTCATTAATAATTCAATCCTTTAAATGCAAAAAAGAAAAAAAATTAGACAGTACTCAAACCTCCTTTGCGGATTTGAAACTTTACTTTCATTTAGCATCAATAAAATATCAAATTTTACCATGACGAGGAGAACATCTCCACATGCTCTCTGGTTCCTTTCAGGCTGTCAAAATGAATTTGTCCTAGAAAGCAGCCTGTCCTTTTTACCTTCTATTTTATACCACATGGGCAGATTACACAATTCTCTTTTACCTTGCATTTTGATCAATATCAGATAGACAGCTGTCTGTAGTTCAGAGCTCTCTGATTTTTGTTAAATCAATTTAAATTCTACAATAATTTCCCAGGTTCATCATCTAGGGTAAATTATGAGGAGTCTATGTTTTTGCCTAATGCAGATCTAAGCAATTTTCTTTTTCATATCCAACTGTTCAAAAAACTTTCATATCTGAATATATCCTAACTTTAAATACACAGGAATGTGTTTCACGTCAAATGTCACCTATTCTTGACTTTTGTACTAATTTTCCTCGTCTGAAAACAAAATTAAAATAACCCCATTTTATAGCATTTTCACATAGCTCTATGGGAAACACCAATCTTCTTCATTATACAGACTGATATTATATAGACTATATTATATAAGCTCATAATTAAGTAAGAGCTAATAACAAAAACTAATGCTTATTGAACACTATTATTTGCCAGGCATGGTGCTAATTAAGACTGTGCATTATCTCATTTAGACCTTACCACAACCCAATAAATAGATATTAGGATTACTATACTTTTGTTTTACAGATGAAGAAACAGAGACACAGGTAAGTTAGGTGTGCCCAGCCTAGCATGTGGCAAAACCCTGGCAATCTGGGTTTTGAAGCCTTGTACCCTTGGCCACCATTCACCGTATCTGCCTCCCAAGATATTTATTTTCTACCCTCCAACTGGCTACTTTGCATTTGAATTCTATTAATTAATTTCAAATTGATAAATTAAAATAAACAGAAAAATAAAAACAGCATTTTCAATCCAAGTGGAATCACACTTACCATATGGATACTGCAAGATTGAAAGCGCACCATTACTGTACTCTTCGTGAGAAAACTTATCATTACTAAGACATTTGTCAAATTCATCAGACCCCACCAAGACAGGAGTTCTGGAAGGAGAATCTAAAAGAAAATGGTAAAATCTTAACTGTTATGACTTTAATGAAAATGTGTGTGCCTCATTCATCCAAAAAACAGATATTCAAATAGCACAGCTCGGTTCAAATATGTAAGTCAAACAAATGGCCCAACGTTCTTTCTCTTGAAAAGCAGTCTTATAGAGAGATGAGTCATTTAAATGAGTAATTAAAATATGATGTGATATATGTGATAAAAAACATATACAAGGTACAGAAAGACAGCTGAAGGAAACAGATGGTTTAGTATTTGAATTCAACTCAATTTGAGTGTCTCAAAGAACATGATGTGATAACCAGATGTTTCATAAATATTCTTTTTTTTTTTTAATAAATTTATTTATTTTAGGCTGCTTTTGGTCTCCATTGCTGCGCGCAGGCTTTCTCTAGTTGCAGTGAGCAGGGGGCTACTCTTCACTGCAGTGCACGAGCTTCTCATTGTGGTGGCTTCTCTTGTTACTGAGCATGGACTCGAGGCGCACAGGCTTCAACAGTTGTGGCACGTGGGCTCAGTAGTTGTGGCTCATGGGCTTAGTTGCTCCGTGGCATGTGGGATCTTCCCGGACCAGGGCTCAAGCCTGTGTCCCCTGAATTGGCAGGCAGATTCTTAACCACTGCGCCATCAGGGAAGTCCCATAAATATTCTTAATATAAATATGTTAAGAGCTAAATGATATCAAGGCGTGGTCAGAGAATGGTTAAAGAGTTTTTCGAAGCTGTCTAGAGAAATACTTTATTGACATTGATTTCTATAGAAGTAGCTGCTGTTTCAATGAAATCATGTTCTAAAGGATAATTAAAATTCATTAGCGTCTAAATACCTTCCCAGTTTATCAGAAAATATAGAGTATATAATAGCTGTGATCTCTGTGATATTCAAAACTAGGGCAAAGCCCATGATTAGGCCTCTGAACATCTGAATAACATTTATAAAAGTTCATAATTCACTTACGAATTAAGGGTTTCCATTTGATTGTTGGCAAAGGAATAATTGCATTTTCACTGTTGACAGATTCCAAGGCCTTGGGACTCGTAGGAAACTTTTCTGAAATTCTGACTGATGACTGCAGATACAGCTGGCCTCTGTACATTCCTGAATCAACCAGAACACTGTCAGTTAGGTTTAGAATCAAGCACTGATGATTTTTTTTTTTTAAAAAAGGTTCACTTTGATTTAATAAAATTAGATGAATTCCAGTTATTTATTCATGTGCTACATAGCTCTTTTCAAAGAATCACGCCTGAAGCACTCAAATTTGACCCAAAGGTTATTCAACAACAACAGGGGAGGAAAGTTACACACAAGTTACAATGTTTCTCACTATATAATTTTTGGTAATTACTGAAAAACTCTTCCAGTAGGAAAATTCAAACAAAAGAAATCGTTGTACTCTTATGAAAGTAACAGCTTAGATGAGGTAACCTTTTCCTTAAGAAAACCTAAACACCTATCATTCAAGAGATACTGCTAACAATTCAATTAAATACTATCATAACACGTGTGATATGTTATTTCAAATTCTTGCATTTCACTGAGATTGAGGGGCAGGTAGCACATTGACAGAGCTTAAAGAATTTTATGTGTATCTGACCACAAAACTAGTTCAAATAATTAGATTTGAGGGTTTTCAAAATGTAGAACATTGACGGCTTTCAACCGCCAAGCAGCACACCAGAATTTTGTTTTAATTTTTCAGATAAGTTGTGTAGATGCATAGAAAAAAATAAACATACCTTTACGGGGGCGCAAACTGATACAGATGCAAATACAAATGTAGAAAGTTTTAGACTCTGAAGATACATAAGTAATGTGAAATCATGCTATGTAATGGCAACATTTTTAAGCCTTTTAAATATAGGTCTCAGAGAAAAAGAACCCGCTATAGTAATTAAAAGTTTCAGAATTGGATAAATGAAAGAAAATTGCAGGAATAGAAATCAAAGTACAAATCTTAAGGCCAGAGAGTGTACTTAGGAATTGAAACTACTACAGGCACACCTGAAGTAGGGAGAGACAATGTAGGAATAAAATCTAGATGTCAACATGTACTATTGCTAGATAAGAGATATCCACTCACCCAAGTAAACACTGTTTTCTGTGGCTCCTCGGGCGGCTTCTACGATGTCTTCTTCATCCTCTAAAACTCCGTCATTAGTGGTGTAACTTGTATCATCAAAAAGACTGATGGGAATGACTTTGCCGTCCTTAACCAACCAGGCAGATGCAATGGGAGTACAAAACTAAACAAAAATGGAAAGGAAATTTTAAACAATTTCAAGCAGTATTTCTATGTATCCCAACTCCTGAAATACCCTTTAAAGCCACATATTTCTTTACAAATTTTCACTTTTCCAGCTTTACTGAGGTATAATTGACGAATAAAAAATGTATTTATGGTGTACAGTGTGATATTTTGATATATGTATACATTGTGAAATAATTAGCACAATCAAGCGAATTCATATATCCATCATCTCACGGTTATTTTGTATGTATGTGTTTTAAGAACATTTAAGATCTATTCTCTTCATTTCTGTTTAATATTCTGAGGAAACTCCATGATGTTTTCCGTAACATCTATGCCAATTTACATTCTCGCCAACACTGCACGAAGATACACTGTTGTACACTGTTCACCAACATCTTCACCAACCTTTTGACTTTTTCTTAATAGTCATTCTAACAGATGTAAAATCACAAATTTCTTAGAGCACAGAGAACAAGCTGAAAATCCAAAATGGCAGTCACTTCCTTCTACCCAACATGTTTGGTCAAACTGAGAAGGAAAGGAACATATTTATAAATTCTCAGTGGTTCTAGGTACCTGGTATTCCCACTCCAGACGTCCTCCTTTCTTACTAAAGGCCATAACTTTCCAATCAGCAACGGAGACCTTTATCACTGTGTCCCTCACGGCAGCTTCCTGTTCTTCCACGTCTGAAATAATTTTAGGCTGTTCTTTGTTTCCACTGGGCTTTAAGGTGCTTTCAATAAATCCGGCTCTAGTTTCCATGTCTGGAATATACCGAAGTTCAAAGTGGCCAACACTGAAATTCCACCTTAAATTTACAAAGGTGTGTTTTAGAAATTTACATTTAAATAAAGGACCAAATAATTAAGAACTCTTCTAGAGTGAAGAAGCAAATACTAAAATTTTGTGATGAGAAAGGGAACAACTCAACACAATCTTCTGGAAAGGAGCATGCTTGCTGATTTATGCCGCAAGAGGGCATAACTTGGTCCTGACCCTTTAGAAACAGTGGTTCTGAGAGTTGTGACCTGACAACGGCTACAGGACAGATTTTTCTCTTGAAATTAACAAATGTTCACATTTCCAAATCAGGGTAATTTTCTCAAAATACATCAGTCACCCTAAAATAAGGTAGCTTGCAGTCTGCCTTACTTCTTAATTAAAGCCTGACACATTTTGTTCAAGTGCAGAGAAATTAACACATCCCAATAAACCAATGCAAAAGGCAAGACGAAAGCTACTGATTTTAGATTTTTATGAAAATACAGCCTCGAGAGGCAATGTGACCCAGTATACCAAGCCTGAAGGTCATACCACCTCAGCTTCAATCTCAAATCTCTACTGACTGAGATCTGGCCAGTCATTTAACCTTTTCTGAGTTTCAGTGTCCATATCCATAAAGTGGTATTAGCAATGTCTCCTCTATAACTAATACATAGGAAAATCACTTATCTGTTGACACTATAATGGTCTTGACACTAACATATAAAATGGCCCTAGAATTCCGACATCTGTTGAAAAATAGATACTTAAGGAATATGGATCTTAGATGCCAGGCTCTTCCCATTCTGATAACTCAAATTCTGTTAAGTTGAACATCTGCTCCTATGGTAGCTGAGCACCCAGCAAGCACTCAAACACTTAAGGAAACAAAATCCCATCAGGACAAAGAAGGTTGGGTTGCCAGCAGATGCAAAGTCCAGGGAATGTGGAAAGAATACATTCTTCATTGAATTTGAGAAAACAGTTTTCAGGAAAGGAAACTGAATTATACTGCATCAGATTAGACAACATCTGAAAGTCTGCTTCACTTTCAAAAGATAAAGATGGGATCTCAAATTCTTTTTACTGCGCAGCAATTTAAAATTTAAATATTAGGTTTTGAAAAGTCAAGCGTGTGATTTACCACCAGTATATCTAATTCAATCACATTACTTTAAATGTAAAAATTTACATTATTTGAAAAAGGAAACAAAACAGTATTTGACCAAATAAATTAGGCTTTAACACTTTAAGAAAATACACTAAAATATTATTTTATAATTGAGGTGGTGGCCACACAAACCATGAAACTACCTACTAGAGAGAACTGCAGGGTCAAACAGACCCAAGTGAAACAAAGCACATCAGCTTTGTCTTAAGAGTTTTCTGCATTCTGCAAAGAACCTGGGTCAGTGAGATTGCTATGAAAAATGTCATTAACCTAAGACTAAGCTAATACATAGTCACTGTATGGGACTCCTCTTCGTTACCATATCCTGAAGCACATGGTGAGAAGTTCACTTCAGGATCTGCTAATAATCATGAAGCTGTTTTAAATTTAGGGGCTTCATTTCTCTTAAAAGAGTAGTATGCCTTTGGGGAAACAAAATAGTTCAGAAAATCTCCACAAAGAAAAAGCTGATGAATTCTGGTCTTGTTGTACTTCTAAACACCAACAGCAACATTATCTGAATACACACTTCTCACTGCCACTACGAGGGCCGACGGCTCTAACGGTTTTCTGGGTGCGCTGCAGAAGCAGGATATCTTCTTCTTGTTCCATTTCATCATTATCCCATTGGCGACAACCCAAAGCTGAACAGATGTACCTCACCTGAAAAGACAGATGTAAAATTAGTAAAGAGAACAAGTTACAGGAGATCAGAGACAGTAAAAGACTCTCAACAGTTTTATAAAAAGTAAAAGGAAATTGAGGAAATGTGTAAAAAGTAGCCAAGCATTAAGAAGCAACAGCTAGGGGGCTTCCCTGGTGGCTCAGTGGTTAAGAATCCACCTGCCAATGCAGGGGACACGGGTTGGAGCCCTGGTCCGGGAAGATCCCACTTGCCGCAGAGCAACTAAGCCCGTGAGCCACAACTACTGAGCCTGTGCTCTAGAGCCCCCGAGCCACAACTACTGAGCCTGCGTGCCGCAACTACTGAAGCCCACGTGCCTAGAGCCCGTGCTCCACAACAAGAGAAGCCACCGCAATGAGAAGCCCGTGCACTGCAACAAAGAGCAGCCCCCGCTCGCTGCAACTAGAGAAAGCCCGCGTGCAGCAAGCAACAAAGACCCAATGCAGCCAAAAATAAATAAATAAAATTAAAAATACACAGTTTCTGTCAAAAAAAAAAGGAAGCAACAGCTATACTATATAGCAAAGGGAACGCCACTCAATACTCTGTAATGGCCTATGTGGGAAAAGAATCTAAAAAAGAGTGGATATATGTGTATGTATCACTGATTCACTTTGCTGTACACCAGAAACTAACAAAACATTGTAAATCAACTGTACTGCAATGAAAGTTTTTAAAATAAATAACCTGAAAAAGAAAAAAAAGCAACAGCTAGATTACCACCAACTCCTAAAATGAAACATTTAGAACCATAAAAGTACCAATGAATATTTATTTCTGAGAATAAGTCTTACTTTGAGCATTTCCATGGAAGAAATGGATAACTAGTTGTGATCTCTTAGGAATAATATCATTAATAAAATTCTAGGTGAATTTAAAAAAAAAACACCTCAGAATTTCCATATGACGGAAATATTTAGTTTTTAAAAATCTGAACCTTTTCTAACAGCTGCCATATTTTCAAGTACTTCTTTGAAAACTTCACTCAAAGGAAAAGGAAGATTCTTTGGAATGATGTGACCAAATCCTCACAGAAAGAAGCATACCTGCTAGAATACCAGAATTTTGGAGGAGCACATCAAATCAGAGACCCAGGTGACGGGGTTCAATCCCATTGTTTTACTGATGAGAATACTGAAGGAAACAAAGGATCACAAGGCCGCCTCAATACAATTGCAGGTGGCTGGAGAGGGCAGAGAAGCTTGCAAAGGGCCTATGCTAACACTCAGACAAGGGATCCTTAAAGTTTGAAAAACTTGAGGGCCAAAGATCTTTTTTCTATTCTTCCTTATTTTCGTCTTAAGTCTATATACAAATATTCAAGTGTCAACGTATTAAGGGGTTAAAAAGAGATTTTTACCTTTCCAAAAAGCATGGTTTTAATTAGTTATTCCCCATAATGGAGTTTTAAGACCCAATCTTAGAAGCAGATCATCTCCTAAGAGCTAATAATGGAGAAAGTCTAGGTCATTAACAGTATGACTTTTTCTTCACACAGATCTAAGTCAAATCTGACCTTGGCAGTTTCCGAACCTTTGAAAGTCTTGGTTTTCTCATCTGTAAAATGAGTACAAACTTGCCTCTTGCATCCTCTTACGATAGGCTCAAACTAGAGAAATAAGTAGTAGCAATTATTCTTATCATCAGGATTATTATTATTCTTTGGAGGGTTCCTCATCTATCCAAATGAAAATTGTAAAATGTAACCATTAGAAATATTGTGATGATTTCAAAATAAGGCATGAAGAATGCACCTGACATACAGTAGACCACCGTTATTCATTCTCTTCCCCCTGCCATTCCTGGCTCTGCTGTTCATTCTGTTATCTTGGATAAATTTAGTTTCTCTTAATAATATTCCCCCTTTCTACTTCACAGTTCTTTTATCAAGAGAAATGATAGCCTCAGGGGAAAATTATTACAAAGCTCAACCAGTAATAGTATAGTTTAAGAAATTATCTCTTCTATTCCTATTTATTTTGATTTCTCCCCAAACAAACTGAACATTTTTACTCACCTTTCCGCTATATGCACTGAGTCCATATGTAGTGAGAGACTTTCCTCCAACCAAGACAACATCATCTCCAAATTTATAAGAAGATTCAAGAAGCGATTCAACTGTAAACGGAACTGTTTCCATGCTCTCACGGTCCCGGTCCCACTGGAAGAGGTCTCCATCCAGGGAAGGAATGATCATCTTATTTCCAAATACCTAAAATAAAAAGCTAACTTTTAAAAGGATTTTATGAATGGATAAAAAAGATGTGGGTCATGTAAACAATAGAATACTACTCAGCCATAAAAAGAATGAAATACTGCCATTGCAGCAACATGGATGGACCCAGAGATTAACATACTAAGCGAAGTAAGTCAGACAGAGAAAGACAAATACCATATGATATCGCTTACATGCGGAATCGAAAACACGACACAAATGAACTTATCTACGAAACAGAAACAGACTCGCAGACATAGAGAATAGACTTGTGGTTGCCAAGGGGGAGAGTGGGTGGGGAGGAATGTTTTTGGGAGTTTGGAATTAGCAAATGCAAACTAGTATATATAGGATGGATAAACAACAAGGTCCCACTGTATAACACAGGGAACTATATTCAATACCCTGTGATAAACCACAGTGGAAGAGAATATGAAAAAGAATACATATATGTATAACTGAATCACTTGGCTGTATAGCAGAAATTAACACAACATTGTAAATCAACTATACTTCAATAAAATAAATCTTAAAAAATAAATTAATAAAAGGATCTGAACTGTAAGAGTAGGAACTAAAAGCCGTAGTCTCTCACCGGAGGTACTCAGGCCTCCTGAGCAGCATACGAAACGGCACAATTCATCCACCAAAAGCAACTTAAAAGAACCACCCATCTCTCCTGGGACCCACAGGTACACTCCAGTCTGGTTTTCCTCAAACTCTGTTTGCCACGAGCCAAGCGTGTTCCATAACAATAAGGGAATTACTAAGGAGAGTTCTGTGACCAAGTGAGTTCAAGAAGAGGTTACTGGGCTTCCCTGGTGGCGCAGTGGTTGAGAATCCGCCTGCCGATGCAGGGGACATGGGTTCGTGCCCCGGTCCGGGAGGATCCCACATGCCGCGGAGCAGCTGGGCCCGTGAGCCATGGCCACTGAGCCTGCACGTCCGGAGCCTGTGCTCCGCAATGGGAGAGGCCACAACAGTGAGAGGCCCGTGTACCAAAAAAAAAAGAAAAGAAGAGGTTACTGTGGGAGTTCTTATAGTGATTACTATGTTAACGTATAATATGATTTTCTAGTAAAGGGATAGTTTATGCAGCACTTTCCAAGTCTATTTTATCCAGGCCAATTACCATCATAGGTTCAGATCCAAGGAACATCCCATTCTTTCTTTTATTCACTTTCTCAGATCTGCTATGAGCTAGAAGCCTGGTAACCAAGCTTACTGATTTAATGCTCTTAGCTGTCCTTCCTTCTTTTATCAATGTTAACTGAGGGCCTACTACATGCTAGGGACTATTCTGTTGCTTAGGATACACCAGGGAGCAAAACAAATTAAAAAAACAAAACAAACCCTGCCATTGTGGAGCTCAAACTCTGGTATCGGGAGATAAACAACGTAATAAATAATTACAGAGTATGTTAGGTGTTAAATGCCATAGTGAAAAAAATAGAACAAGATAAAGGGGGAATGGATAAATGTGTGCATGGGAGGGGACAGGACTTGTCAGTAATGGTTAAGTTCAGGGTAGGTCCCATTGAGAAAGTAATATTTGAGCAAAATCTAAACATAAGCGTTAACCCTGCTGATACCTGCGGAACAGCCTTTGCAAAGGCCTTAAGGGGGAAGTGCACTGTGAGGAGGAAAGGAAACAGGTTGTAGAGGCAAGGATGGAGGTGGGGAGAGCAAGCAGAAGGCCGGAGATGATAATGGTGGTGCTGGTGGTGGGCTACAGTGCAGCTGTTGCCTGCGGTGAGATTTGGGATATAACTGGAAGGTAAAGCCAACAGGATTTCATGGTGGATTCCCTGTACGGAATGAGCGGAAGAAAAGCGCTCAGGATGACTCTAAAGATTTTGGCCAAGAAAATCTTGTTTCTTGAGAAAGAGTTAAATTAGTACACGACTTTGTGACACTGGCCTTCTGGCATTTCAAAATAGACACAACTCGGGAATTCCCTAGTGATCCAGTGGTTAGGGCTCGGCACTGTCACTGCGGTGGCCCGGGTTCAATCCCTGGTCGAGGAACTGAGATCCCGCAAGCCGCACAGCGCGCCAAAAAAACACAAAAAAACAAAACAGACACAACTTGACTTATTTCAGCTAATGACACGATTATTTTCCTGATCGTCAAGGCTCAAAAATCTGGAAAAAGAGACTATGAAAGAAGCATGAGTTTAAAAACCGGAAAACCTCCAGACAAATGTCGATTTGCTTTTTTAAACAAAATTTCTCTATGGACTTCTTTGTTCCTTAAGCAGCAGAATTCCTTTCTTTAAAGGGGTACTTACGGGGATATTTTAAAGAGATCCTTTTCAGTCACAAAGTGTTCTCCGTTGATGCTCAGCTAATATATCCCTCCCCCCCTCCCCCACCCCAGCTGTGCCCCACACCCCTGGGGTTCTAGAAGACAGGTTGAAAAACACGACTCTAATCCACTTCTTTCCTTCATTTTGTAGTTCAAATCCTCTATCTCCTGCCTGAACTATTATAACAGCCTCTTTACAGTTCTTAACTGGAAATTCCCTCAATCTAATCTCTGCATATCTTCTAGATTAATCCCTGAATCAGACTTAAGCTTGTTATGACACTATTCAAAAATCCTGGACAGCTCTCCATTATCTTCTTACTAAAGACCCCAATTCCTAACTCTGACATACATTCAAAGTCCTCTAAACGTGACCTCAAACAACCTTTTCCTTGTTGTCTTTCACTTTTCCCCACGTGGGTGGAAATCAGGTGTCATTACTTAAGCAGGATGTTTAATGTTTTTACTGTTATTGTTCAGTTATGTCATTGTCAATGTCATTTCTTCTCCCTGGAACATCCTCCTGTACCAACCCTGCCCACTGAAACCCTATCTGGCCTTCAAGCTAGCATCACTTACGTTTTTGCTGTGAAATCCAAGAAAATTGTAGCAGCGTAAGTTCTCTGACAAAAGCCTTAATACTGCACTTTTTGCTGTAACTGTAAACTGAGACACCATTACAGTCTCAAAAATTGTTTATTGTACCTCTAACAAATATTTATCAGGTATACTAACGTGTATACATTTATGTTTATTCAGTGGCTGTAAAAGTAATGCACTCAAACCTAGTGCCCAGATTTTGTTATCTAATTCCATTCCCCACCGAAAGAACAAAGGCTCCTGAGAGAAACGGCTGCCTCCAGGGCGGGGCAGGGCAGGTACAAGATGAGCCTTTAACATCTTATTAGTCTAAAAAGTAAAGATATGCACAAAAAAAGACGGAAACATGTCACTGACCACATCTGGAATTTAAGCACCAGAATGATTAAGTACTGAATTATAAAACATTGGAAAAAAAATAAGGAATTTATGCATCCGCACTGATAACAAATAGATAAAATAAACAACATATGGGGGAGAAGAGAGGGCTTTTACTGCAATGAAATGCCAAATGTCTACTGGTAAATATGAAGGGAGGCCTGGAGTTGGAAAAATTAGCATCTTGCAGACATCATAGTAAAGACTGCAACAGGCAAAAATCAGCCATGGTGTTAAATCTCGGTGAAAATTTGGATGAGGAGCAGGATATTTGCACTGTCTTAAAGTATCTTCCCACAGGGCTTCCCTGGTGGCGCAGTGGTTGAGAGTCCGCCTGCCGATGCAGGGGACACGGGTTCGTGCCCCGGTCCGGGAAGATCCCACATGCCGCGGAGCGGCTGGGCCCGTGAGCCATGGCCGCTGAGCCTGCGCGTCCGGAGCCTGCGCTCCGCAACGGGAGAGGCCACGACAGTGAGAGGCCCGCGTACAGCAAAAAAAAAAAAAAAGTATCTTCCCACAGACTGCTTATTAGTTACAAAAAGTTAAGAAAAACAAAACAGAAACAGTCATTATATAGTGGAGAATTCAGACAATACCTTGACTGGATGATCAAATGAGTGACAGACATGATACCCTGAGAGAGGATGCAACACCAGCCATGCAGCGTTCTGAGCCAAGCATACACAGCCTGGATCTAATCACCGGGAAACATCAGACAAGCACAAAATGAGGAAAGTTCTATTTTTTTTAAATATCAGTAAAAGATAAGAGAGGCTATATTCTTCAAAAATGTCAATGTCCCTATATACACTACCAAATGTAAAATAGATAGCTAGTGGGAAGCAGCCACATAGCACAGGGATATCAGCTCGGTGCTTTGTGACGATCTAGAGGGGTGGGATAGGGAGGGTGGGAGGGAGGCTCAAGAGGGAGGGGATATGGGGATATATATATATACATATAGCTGATTCACTTTGTTATACAGCAGAAACTAACACAGCATTGTAAAGCAATTATACTCCAATAAAGATGTTAAAAAAAAAATGTCAACGTCATACAAGATAAAGTCTGTGGGGAAAAAAATCCAGATTAAAAGAGGTTAATGTAACAAGTAAATGTATTACCTGACCCTAGACTAGATGCTGTACTGGGAGTGGAGAACGCTATAAAAGACATTATTTAGGTCAACTGATGAAACTGGAATATGGACGGTAAAGTGTCCATATAAATTTATGAAGTTGATAGCTGTACTGTGATTATGTAAGAGAATCGAGAAATTTCCTATTTCTATTAGGAAATGCACACTGAAGCATTTAGGAGTAAAGGGCTACAATGGATATTTATCTTTAGATGTTTCAAGAAAAAAAGAGTATGTATGGGGGATTTGGAGATAAGAGAGAGAGAGACAGAACTCAAATGATAAAGCAAACACGTTTTTAGCAGATAAATCTGGGTATATAAGGGTTGGGTTTTTTTCATACCAAAAAGAGTGCAACTTTTTGTAGTGTGAAATTATTTCCAAATAAGAGGTTAAAAAGAAAAGAAAGATACTCAAGAGCCTTGAAGGGGCTCTGTAGCTAAACTCGGAAGGCTAGACCATTAAACTGAAGGCTCATCATAATTCTGGATATTTAAAGATCTCCAACTACTACTTTTATTAAAAAAAATTTGATTTTTAGTAAGCTCTCAAATGACATCAGTATGTATGTATA